TTAAAAAACTCAATTTTAAAAGTAAATTTTATTCCTATTTGGATTTTCAAGATGCATTCAAAAATTAAACTAGAGGAAACCCATTGGAGAAAGTGTCGTTACATGGATCAATTTGGACTTTTCATTTTTTTTATGTGAAATGGAACAATTTGCATAAAAAATTATAAGGTAATTTTTTTTAACTTTAATTATATAACAATTTCATAAGAAATATATAATATGTTTGTCTTGCACAATAGATTTGAGAACGAATATTGTTATGCTCATCAGGAAAAAAAAATTAAAATGGTGGTAACAATATAGAATTGTACCTTAGAGACATACGGATCGATACCTTAGAGTTAAACATATTCGATACTTATGATAGTGGTAAACTGTTGCTATTTAAAAGAAATTAAAAAACGTTTTAAGCTAAACTTTATAAAATTGTGCATTTATATGATATGAATAACTTAGTTTTAAGTTATTCATATCATATAAATGCATTCTCTTTGTTCCCATTCTCTTTGCTACTTCTTACAAGTCCGAAGCTAGGTTTTCCGATGGTTTCCATAGCTTGAAAATAAATATCGAAAAACCAGAAATTACAAGTAGCTATTATAAAGCTTTATTATACAATTTGAAAACTTAGATTGCAATCAGCAATACCTTCAATTGAGGAATTTTTACCTATACTTTTTATTAAGAATATTGAATTAATACCTTCTTAGTGCTATATATGATCATTCATACTTTATTATTAATACCAATTAAAATACTTGATCGTATTTTAAGTAGGATTTGTATTAATTATGTTCATATCCTTTCTACTTCTTTTCATACTTTTATTTCATATTCTTAAACACACAAAGCACTCATTAAGCTTGTATATAACAATTGAACCGTGAAACAATCTTAAATCTCATAAGGGTGCCACAACTTGTAAAAATTTGGAAAAATCCTACATTTTAACATTATGTAACGATTTTATGCAAGAGCCGTAACGGTTATGCATTATAGCCTATTATAGGCAAGATTACTTTTTTATGCGCTACAGCGTGTAATGTTGTTTTATTTGTGTTTTATTGTGTTAAGGTGTTGAATTTATAATTTCTTTTATCAGTTAAGTTGTAAAACGATAATCAATACATACATTTTATAACTTAAGAATTGACAAAATTTTAATTAATTATCAATACGAGAAATCAATATATTCTTATTGATGTTTTTTTTAAATAATGTCTTTCATTTTTTACTGCAAATAGTTTTCTTAAAGGAAAAAAATAATTTAGAAGAGTTGCTTGGGCATATTCATTTCCTTAGGAAAGAAATATGATAATTGACCAAAATATATTTAAAAAAAATAAAGAAAAGAAAAATTGAGTCATTAAAATTTATAAATGCTTAGAAATGAATTTATAATGGGAACTTCTTATCACAATTAAGAAAACAATTCGAAAATACTAATTCTTTAGAGTAATTTTTAATGAAAATGCATTGGGTTTTGTTTTTATTTTGATACGTTTCACCATTAACAAGAAACTTTACTCCCAAAAAAATTTGACTTTTTGTTTTATTTTGGTATTTAAGGCAGTAATAACATGCGCTAATTAAGAAAAAAGTCTTAGATTTATTTTAAAAACATTTTTTATCCCATTGTATTTTTGCGATAAAAAATAATCAACACTTTATTGTAAGTATTAGGGAGTGCAATTAGCTTATTTTGGTCGAGCTACTTTTGAAGGAGCCATTGATTTTACATAAAAAGTTTTAATAAAAAATGGTACTTATTTCATTTTTATAACAATTAAGAATGCCGTAGTGTAATCGATATAGACAATTAAGCCAGAAATTTAAGGAGACAATTATAAGAGAAATTAGCAATGTTTTTTATTTCATTTCTTTATTCTAAATTGAAGGGGATATGATTAAATTATTCGAGAGAAAATAAATTTTTAATCCATGTTTATGAGCAACTATATTTTAAGTAATAAGATCAGGTATTAAGAAAATAAATATAAAGAAAGTTAATTGTTTATCGAGCAAACATTTAAAGTAATACTTGTAGAAAATGTATAATTTGAATTAAGAAAAACGAGTTAAGAAAAGCAGGGTAAATACATATTATATTAAAGAAATACGGATTCACTATTGCATTGATATTTTTAAGGCTTTCCAATTTTTATAAACATCTAAATAATTTTGACAGATGATAAGAAATCAAGTTCTAAATATTTGCTTTAGGATCTAAATTCGTTAATTACGTATTCTTTTGTCACCACTGTATGAGAAGAAATTTTTCTCCCCAAAAATAGTACAACAAAAAAATAAAAACAATAACGTAAGCTTTGTATTAACGAATTTTTTTTTCTACATTACAAAAATAATTCACTTCGTTTCTCGATCACGTGATTTACAACTCTTTGAGACAATAATTTACTACTTCTTGAATGAATCCACTTCTACAATACAAGAAAACTGAATTTTCAAAACGAATTTATTTTAAGCGCATGAAGTGCAGTTATGAAAAGAAAATATCTATAACGGAAGCAGCTCGGGAAAATGTTGTATCCTAGGCAAATTTTAATATTTTTATTTTGATGAAGATTAATTAATTCAACTAACTTAAAAATTTCTCGAGAAACATATTATACGTTTTTTTTATTAATATATATTTTTGGAGAATGGATTCTGTCAAACAAAAAAACAGAAAACAAAACAATTTTCTTCTTAAAGTTAAGAAAGTAGGTCCAAGTTATATCATAATATTGCTGATTTTAGCTAAGTAATAAGGATAATTAAATTTTAATTTTTAAATGCTTGTCAATTGTCTTAAATAAATTATAACATTTCATTTCTTTACGCATCGGTTTTATTAAGACTTGTTCGAATTCATATTAATATTCTCTCTGTGCTGTGTATGTTTCATTAACGAACGAATTTTTTTTAAAGTTGAAGAAATGTTATTTTATCTATGCATCGAGTTACTGAATAACAAACAACGCGGCTGCTACTTTTCACCTAGTAGTATAAAAGAGCATTCTGGTTATTTCACTACACTAGAAATCATTCTTGAGTCTTCGTGCAGTGGAACATTACTTTAGTATTAAGTAGTTGACTCCATTTTTGGTCTTAAAATACACGAAATTACAGTAGTTCTTTCTTTCTAATGGCGAAGACACTCATCTGCATGAACTGCCAGCCATAATGACAGTCAAGGAAGCCCGGAAAAATAAGCTTTCCGGGTTTAAAGTTTTGAAACCAAACAAACGTGACTTATTCATAAAGCCCACTTATTAAATAAAAGATAAATATCAAAAACAAAATGGTGCATACATGATACCATTCATGAAAATTTCGGTTTTTACTCACTCGCTGAAGCAATTAAAAAATATATCTCCTTCACAAAAACTGAATATTATTTTGGTTAGTTGGTGCGTGATGCATTGTATGCCTCCCGTCTGATGAAAAGGAAGGTTACTCCACTCAGCAAGCAATGCTCTTCGAAATTCCAGCTCTCATGTAGGAGGTAGTTGACGTGCTGCAATTCGTCGGGTAGGTATATCACACACACGCTCCATCGAACGAAGTGGTAAGTGAGAATACTGGCCATTCTATACAATTGATATTCTCAGATCAAAAGCATATGTTTTTGTTGTTTGCTCGGTTAGGGTGAGTAATGTTTTCCATAATCACATATTCTGTGCCTACGGCATCCCTAAATGTTGTTCCAGAATCATGTCCCGAAAAATTTGGTCTGTCATTGCTCCGATTTGAAATGGGTGTTCTGGAGCCCAGTATAATTCCGCCTCAAGCGAGCAATCGTGTACCACCGAAATATTGTCGTTCAATGATATTGTTTTGGTGGTAATGGGTACCTGACGTTTTCCATATGAAAGCTCGACTAGAATCAGACTGCAAGCTAAAACTGGACTCATCGGAGGAGATCAAACAAACTCTCTGTGTCGATGTCCACATTACATGCTTTGTGCTACAGATTAATCGCTGGTGTCTTGCTGTCACCAGCGATTAACCCGCAGTTCTGACAGGCTTATAAGCAAATAGAACAATATTTCCAAAACGTCCTTACCCGGTTTTCCCTGAAACTGTAGTACACGTGACTACATATATTTGATTTAACAAATCATAGGCCTTACTCCGTCTGCTTCTTTTGACAGTTGCTACGAAACACCGGTTATCTTTTGAGTTGCTACCAAACACTGGTTTTCTTTCGACATTGTAACTTGGACTGTGTAACTTGTACATTGTAACTTGGACTAACGTCTACTGAAATTTCCATTATCTCGGAATCATTGCCAAATCCAATAGATAAGAATTTGGGCCATTTCAAGATCCTCGGATACTTTGAGTAAGCCCACATTCCAGGTGCCTGATATCTATATCACCTAAAAAATCATCCGCGTGTCCTCTATGTGATAGCTATTCAGTTATCGCACTGAGATGGCCTCAGAACTCTCGTGGACAAGTTTACTTCTTTAGCGTCATTCCTCAGATATCTCTCTTTTATATTCTCGTCATTATGACGTACTATCGGTGTCATCTGGTGGCTTCCTGTAATTTGCAGATTATTCTTGAAGATGCGTGTGATAATTCTATTGGTGAGATTTTAGCTTTAGAGTTCAATTTCTGTGTGATTTTGAATTATCCTTCATTTTCGGACTTCATTTCATTATTCTTCATTTTCGTGTACTATAGAATTTTATATTCCAATGAAATTGATTGAAAAAGAATTTTCTGTAACGAAAAAAGTTTTATAGCACATGTCTGGAGAGCCTGAAACGGTCATAATCTCAGCCAATAGCGCCTTTTGTTATTGATAATCAAAATTCTTCACCCCGGTGGAGCAAATATACACTAGACCAAAGTATATGTGCTCCAAGCTACAACACTAGATTCATAATACATGGTTTTTTTGGGGAGGGACAAAATTGTTTTCTCTATTTCTCCCTCCAGGAATGCTAAAATTAAATCCATTTAAGATTATCAGTAAATGTTTTTACCTGAAGGAGGAGAGTTGCACTTTGCTTTGTCATTGGGGTTGCTGCTGTGTCCACAGCCAGCTTTATTGATGGTGCAGATTTTCACTGAATAATTCGTGTTCGGTCGGACGGTGCTTTTGAAGACTAAGTTTTCTTTGTGAACTTCAGTGAATTCTCGGAAATTGTCCCGCACTAAGTGACCACTACCATTCCTATACAAAGCATCCCCTTGCAGCGTTACCTGAAATACACAAGAAACAACATTATCACAAATACTGTGTAACTCGGTACATAAATCGAGTTTTCAAACCTCCAAATTTTTACTAAAATCAGGGGGTCGACTTATGCGATGGTAATAAAGACGGTCAATCGTTGATCGTGATTTACTGCATTATAAACAATGCGATAGATAAGAATAACTGTGGATCAATTTATCCCTTGTAAAACTATTAATCGCTGTTTTTAGTACAATTAATTTCTACTTTTTTCTAAATATATTTTTGTTACGTAAAAAAGTTTTTTAGAAACAATATTTTTAATTGCGATCAGGAATAAAAGTAAAAAAGAAAAGTTAACTTATTCAAGAATATTTAAAAAAAATATTACGCAATAATTTTTTTTTTTAAAACATACCATAAAAGCAATAAATTTAAAGATACAAAAACATCATCAGTGTCGGATTCAATAAGGTTAGCACTATAGTTACACGGATCCCTCTCTGCTATAAATTCTGCCTCTCTGCTACTTCATCACCATCTGCTGAGTCCAACAAAGCACTGTCAACCCCATTCAAATAATTCGAAATTCCATATTTTTTTAAAAAATTTTACAATGACATTAGTAACCACATTTTGCCAAGTGTCTAATATTATTTGACACATGACGTTTTTAGGAATAAAAATATGACTTACAGACAGCTGTCGACTTACACTTCCGACATAGTAAAATTTGCTATCTCGTAATCAAAAACAGGGTCTTGACTTATAAAACGGAATATACGTAATTCAATAACACATCTTTTATTTGTCAAAATGTTCTAAAAGGATTCATACTTTTTATTTGTTTGCCCAAGGTTCTTTTAAATATAAGTTGTCTTACAAATTCTCTAAACAGCAGTTCTCTAAAACAATAGTAAACTCCACTGAATATGCTTCATCCATTCTTTTTCGTCTTCAAAATCTAATAAAATTGGTAAAAGATACAACACTGCAAGTTACGCTTACAATGACTATCTATATTGCAACAGAAAAAATAAAATTGTATTTTTGAATTTTGCTAGCATGCTAATTTTATACTGTCCATTCCTAAGGGAAAGTTTTTTTCTTAATCAAAATTTAATCAAAAGATGAAAAAAAAATTTATTGTATCGATTGCTTTCCAAGTACACTGAGAAAAATAATATAGTCAAAAGTACCAGAATGTGGTAAAATACCAAAGAACTCGGTAGTTTTTACCAAATCACTTTGGCAATGATTTTGGTATAATTTTACTAAGATCATTCAACATTTTAAACTCATACCTCAGTAAAATATGCTCCTCACGCATTATAAAATTATGCCATAATAAATTGTGGTTTTATAATGTGTGTTGAAATATGATAAATATGGTAAAATTAGTTGTGGTATGGCCACAACTAATTTTACCATATTTATCATATTTACCATTATGTTATTATTCAAAATAAAAAAGTTATGTTTTGCGCTTATAAAAAGTTACGTATAGCCAAATTAGTTCATATATTATTCAAAATAAAAAAATTGTTTTTAAATTTTATTGAAAATATAATATATAGGTATTTTAGGAACATTAGAATTTTAAATAAAAATAGAATACATACATTAAAAATGATAATTTAATCCTCATTTGGAACTAATCATTAATTAGTAATAATTTTTGGCAAATTTAGAAAAAGCTTTCAAGTGTTAATTTGTTTCACAATTTCGTTTTTAAAATGTTTCTTAAAGGACGCTAATCTTATTTAGATGATAGTAAAAGGACATAATATTTATATTTACATTATTTTTTATTGTCTTTTTTTTTGGAAAAACGTAGTGTAAAAATGAAACTATAATTACAGAGAGTTTAGTGGAAGTACACAACTTTAAAGAAGGAGATTACCTTGAAATAAATAATATTTTGCAGTTAAACAAGAATGGCCTAACTAATTAAATATTTCTTTTTTCGAATTTCTTTTTTTTTGTAATAATAACTTAAAGCAGAACTCTTGAACATATGAGAATTAATGTTTATAGATTATTACATTATTAAAAAACACAAAGTATTTTAATAATGCTTATTAATTTTGTTCTTATTAAAATTTCTAAATTCTCATTAAAATATTGCTTAATTTTTTAATACATCTTTTTAAATTTATTACTATTAATCTTTTAAATTTCAGGAAGTTAATTTTTAAGTAAAAAAGTACCGGCATATTAAAATCATCTTCCACATCCAGTATATTTAAACTTGAAAAATGAATTTTAATGGCAAATTTCTTAACTAGTTAATAAAATGTAAATAAGCTCATTAATTCAAAGTTTTAGGAAAACTTTTTTTCAAAAAATACCTCATGTTTGATAGAAATCAAAAATTCAAAAAATAAATAAAAAATAAAACAGGATTTTATAATTTCATGTAGTTTGACTAAAAAAAAAAATTATAATGGATATTTTTTTTTTAGAATTTTTTTTTGAATAAAATTAAAGAATTAGAAAGTTAAGCAAATTTTAATGTTTCTCAGATAAATTTAATAAAATTAACAAATTAAATAAACAGTCGCCTAAATAAATAGAAAAAAGGAATGAATATATATTTTTTAAGAGGTTTGAACAAAGCACAAGAAGAAATTTGAATAAGCATTAATTTACCTTATTATTATTAAAGGTTATTTCACAAAATGTACTGTCGAAAATAAGATTAAATTTAGACATAAGCATAAATTTGAATCAATTTCACTATTTTATTTTACATTTCTTCTTCTGAAAAATACATTTTATACACTGTTTTAAAGAATTAACAATCTCAAAGTACAGTGCACAAAATGAAAAACAGGCCACCCTGAATAACTTTTGATCTAATTATCGGGTATTTAGGTTCTAGGACTCATTTTTAATGGTTCGAGGGAGGAAAAACGTGATAAATATACCTTTTTTCAACGGATTCGGATTTTTAACCCCCAAATTATTAGAGGTATCCGTAATCTTGGTCATGATAGTTTGGTCTGGATAGAATGGTCCAAACTTTGGATTAATTAATTAATCTTTAATTACGAAATTCGTTTATTCACAGATGATTCCAAGCTAAAAAATAACTTTTGGTAAATATTTATTATTTTATTTAATGATATCACCAAATTTGAATTGTGAGGTATACAACTTTTGTGCATCATTTAAAAGAATATAATTTTGCATGGAAAGGATGCAAAATTGGAACGAAATTGGTCGAATAGTTCCTGAAAAACTGAATTTTAAAAATACGACTTTTTCTCCGATAATGAATATATATATGGTCATGATAGTCATGATATGGTCATGATAGTTTGGTCTGGATAGGGTGGTCCAAACTTTGGATTAATTAATTAATCTTTAATTACGAAATTCGTTTACTCACAGATTATTCCAAGCTGAAAATAACTTTTGGTAAATACTTATTACTTCATTTAATGATAACAACAAATTTGAATTGTGAGGTCTACAACTTTTTGCATCATTTAAAAGAATGCAATTTTACACGGAATGGATACAAAATTGGAACGAAATTGGTCGAATAGTTCCCGAAAAACTGAATTTCGACTTTTTTTTCCCGATTATGAATATATATATGGTCATGATAGTTTGGTCTGGATAGAGTGGTCCGAACTTTGGATTAATTAATTAATCTTTAATTACAAAATTTGTTTACTCACAGATTATTCCAAGCAAAAAATAACTTTTGGTAAATATTTATTATTTTATTTAATGATATCAACAAATTTGAATTGCAAGGTATAAAATTTTTTTGCATCATTTAAAATAATGTAATTTTACGCGGAAAGGATGCAAATTGGAATGAAATTGGTCGGATAGTTCCTGAAAAACTGAATTTTTAAAAATACGACTTTTTTTCAGATTATGAAATTGAGAAAGGATTATTATAAAAATGTATTTATTTTTTCTTGCATATGCATTTTTTTCTTTATATCTCTATTTACCTATGCATTGCATATTTCTGGAAATGTATTTAATGATATAATGTTTTGAAATGCTCTTACGGATTATTCATTCACTGAAAAAAATGCATATGAAAGAAAGAATAAATACATTAATTAATTAATCTTTAACTACGAAATTCGTTTACTCACAGATAATTCCAAGCTAAAAATAACTTTTGGTAAATATTTATTATTTTATTTAATGATATCAACAAATTTGAATTGTGAGGTCTACAACTTTTTTGCATCATTTAAAAGAATGTAATTTTGCACGGAAAGGATGCAAAATTGGAATGAAATTGGTCGAATAATTCTTGAAAAACTGAATCGTAAAAATACGATTTTTTTTCCGATTATGAAATTGAGAAAGGATTATTATAAAAATATATTTATTTTTTCTTTCATATGCATTTTTTTCAGTGAATGAATAATCCGTAATTTTTCACGGAAAGGATGCAAAATTGGAATGAAATTGGTCGAATAGTTCCTGAAAAACTGAATTCCAAAAATACGACTTTTTTTTCCGATTATGAAGTTGAGAAATGACTATTATAAAGATGTATTTATTTTTTCTTTTATCTGTATTTTTTTCAGAGAATGAATAATCCGTAAGAGCATTTCGAAACATTATATCATTAAATATGTTTCTAGAAATATGCCATGCATAGGTAGATAGAGACAGAGAGAGAGAGAAAAAAAGAAGAATCATTTTTGGAATGAAGTAACCTTTCGTTCATTATACAATTAGCTTCCAGATTTTAGTGAGTTTTCCACATTTACTTTAATTGCCTCTACATCCGCATCTATTTAGAATGAAGCAACATATGACGGGGGTGGTGAGAGGAGGAAGAGAGGGAGTTTAATGAGCGATGCAGTAACTTGAATGTTATAAAAATACTTTGCATTGTGTTGGAGTTAATTATATGTTGCAGTTTTCTAACAAATCTCCATTTTCGTTGAAGCTCTACTGAAAACTTTCAGTCCCGTCCAATTCTCGAACAGACGTAATTAAGTTTTACTGTCGGGTTGCATTTATTGTAATTACTGGAGTT